GTATATCAACTTGCGCTCTAAAATTTCGTATAATCTCTATGCCTGCAAAATTTTGCCTATTGACCAACAAAATGGGATTATTTCTAATGAGGGTTTTCCCAGAATATTAGAGCGGTAAAACTCTTTTGTTATAACTTATAAGATAACATAGGGCGACAAAAAAAAAGTCATGTCGTGACAACTTGACAAATTTTATATTATTTTGTTCGTCAGTAAGACAAATCAAATGCACTAAAAAAAATTAAAAAGTCTACACACTTTGAACAAAATAATTTTTTTCTAATTTAAATGAATTTAAAATACTTTAACTTTAAAAAATCATTACTCAATAACTATTAGGCCGATTTCCTTAAAATAAAGACCATTCTAAAGGGATGGCCTTGCCCTTTAGAATTATATAAAATTTTAAATTAAATATTGGCAAACTTTTCTTTGAACAGTGTTGGAAGAAGTTCGAAGTAAATCGAAATAATCTAAGAAAAGCCCTACGAGTAATTTTTTTTTCATCATTACCAACGTCTAGAGCATCGCTTTATTAGTTGTAATCCAAATTTTCAAGAAAATATAGCGAGTAGTTTTCAAGATATAATTTTTTGAAGTTATGGTTTGCTAATCAAGCATTGCTCCATATAGGAGAAATGCATGTTAATCTTACTTAAAATTGCATTTTTATAAAAATATTTGTTTTAAAACTCTTCTTTTGCTTAAAAGTGGTCAATTGCACCTTCTTTGTTCTAATTACAATAAACAAAAACTCTTTGTTTACTTAAAACAAATAAAGAGTACATGCATACTAATTAAAGCAAATAAAGAGTTTTTTTGTAGTAAAAATGACCACTGTTTACTGTACTATTTTAACCAGCTATCATTAAAAATTTTTTGTTGATACTCTTTTGCTGGTTACACCGGTATAATTGCACATTGTCATAAGACATAATAATAATAATACCAATAAATTACTGATAATTTTATTACAGGTATAAAAAAAACAATTGAAATAAATATATGGCCACATAAGTATAACTTTTTCGATTAGCGGGGCCTTCTTCATTTGATGCGGAACTAATCATTACAATGTCCTCATTTTCTTCCACCAATTCTGATGACTCGATGTTGTCAAAATCGGTGGGACCCCACCATTTCACATATTTCAAAAAAATTTGTAAAGCAACAATCACTTACGGAGGCTTAAAAGAAAATTAATAGTCACTCACGAAAGTTCAAAACAAATTGAAAAGAAAGTATTAAAGTTTTGCAAAATTACCTGCTTAAAAGTGTTTGTTTTTCCTAAAATTCCCAAAAGGTTACCTGCCCCATTTTAATAATAACTTGTAATTAGTCACCTGCCTTTTCAAATTTCTTAAAAGAATTACTTGACTTCAATAACAATTATACATGAAATGCAAAAGGACATACCATAGAAAATAGAATAGGTATACTTAATTAGAGAAGATTACAGAATTTGGAAAGCAACTGGTTTCTTCCCTTTCAGAGAAGAAAAAAGCAAATAATCCGACCCTGTTAAAAACTGACCTGTTTCCTTCGTTTCTCGGCCCGGTGGGTTCCACTGATTTATGATATGTTCACCCTATGGTTTACTCTCAACAATACCGCATTTAACTTAAAAGTAATAAAATTTTTAGTAGGTCTTAGCAAAACGATTTAACTGTACTTGAAATTTTTCGCGAGTTCTGACACACACTGTATAGATGCGTCTTGTCCTGCTGGTAATCCCAGAGCACATGCAAATTTTTGGAACGGTATAATCCAATCTACTTTTATTTTATTTAAGTATGAGTACAAACACAATTTACTTTTTTATACAGGGTGATTCAGATAAGATAATGAGCCCAACGTTCTGGCGATGCAACCCAAAAAACAAATTTCATTTACGTCTTGATCTAATTTTAATTACGATTTGCATTTGCAATCAAAGTTATCTTATGTTGCTCTGACAGTGCTTTGACAAGCAATTTATGATTTATAAATAAACTGTTTGCCTATCTTTAATGTTTTATTCTTTCATACATTTTGTGTTGGGTTTACATCGAAGAGACTATTCTATTTTCTCTATCATTCCGCGAGAACTGAATGGCACTAATGTCAGAGTGACATAAGATGATAACTCGGATTCAACTTGCAAATCCTAATTTAAATTGGATCAAAGGCGTAAATGAAATTTGTTTTTTGGGTTGCATCGCCAGATCGTCAAGCTGAATCGCCCTGTAGATATACGTATTGATTTTTTTTTTTGATTAGAATACATGTAGCTTTTATAGACAATTTAAAAATTAAGGTCATAGTTTAAAATTCGAGCGACCGTTAGAGAGCGAAAATTTAATAGACCCAGATTTTTAATGAACTATAAAATTCGTGTTGTTTTCAAAATTTTTTCCATCATTAAATTTGGATCAGAAATCTAAAAAATGTTTTAAAGAAAATTGTCAAAATTAACAAAATGTCAAAATAAATGTTTATGTAGTTATAAAATACGATTTGATTGACGACGTGTTTTATAGAAAACACTTCTCTTGGCATTTTGTCAATTTTAATATTATTTTGACAAACTTCATAATTATTTCTGAATTTAATAAAATTGCTCATTTACACTTGAAAACGCAAATTGTCAAAAACAAAATTGTCATATATGTTCCCATATACCGGGTGGGGCGCACTTGATAAATCGCAACTTCAAATTAATTAAAACTGGCGATGTATCATACATACCTAACTAATTATTGATAGCGTATATTTGAGAATTTTTCAAAATTTTTTTGATAACAAATGAAGCCGTAACATTTTCTGTGTTTTATGAATACTTTCTGTTAATTTAATTTACTTATAAAGTTTTTTCAGAGATTTACATAATGTGAAAAAGGTTGTTCCCAAAAAGGTTAGAAAACTATCAAAAGAAATGTCTTATTTGGTGGTCTTGCCAGTGCAGTGTCATAGTCAGTGAACGAAATGGAAAAACTTGCTAGAAGATGCCTGACAATTATGAAATTGTGAATTGTGACAAAAACAACGTCAAAAATCTGGCATTTATTAACAGGCCAAATTACACTATAAAAAATCAATTTGAGTTTTTTTTGCACTCAAGTGCAAGTAATATTAAAATTAAAAACACGAATTTTATATCTCGGTCTATTAAATTTTCGCACCCTAATACTCGCTCGAATTATGACCTTATTTTAAATTCGAATTTAATTTTTTTTTTTTTTGAAAAACTTGAAAACTAAAAAATATTTCGAAAAATTTTAATCTTGAAAAGTGATAAGATTTTTATAGTAGGTACTTTAAACAGGACTAATAATTCTTTTTGTAAAGTAATTAGTTTATGCAAAAAATGCTTGGTTCTATACTTTTTATTCACTCGGTACAAGAAAGACTCGCCTCCTTCCTCCAAAATTAATTAAAACTGGCGATATATCATATACCTAACTAATTATTGATAACGTATATTTGCGAATTTTTCTAAATTTTTTTGATAATAAATGAAGCCGTAACATTTTCTGTGTTTTATGAATACTTTCTGTTAATTTACTTATAAAGTTTTTATACTAAATGAATCTGAACCTGCTAGCGCATCAAACTTTGATATCACAATTATAAATTTTGACTTGGTTAGCTAAATAATCGCTTTCTTTATTTAAACACAAACCAGACCCGTGATTTATGACAGTGGTATAATTTGCCAACAAAAGAATCATTTATTGGTAGCCGACTACTTTGAAGTCTTTTATTGTTGTAAATCTTGGAATCTTACCCCAATTACAGTTCCCCATTGTCACCTAAATTTACGATGGCACAAGAAGCAGGTCATAAATAAAAATGATTTCAAAGTTAAAATGGAAAATTACGTTTAATTCAAAATCTAATTCGTATTTTTTTCTGATTTTCGTAAACAATTACAGGAAGTGAATCTGCGTAGGTCAGTATAAAAATTTGAATTCAACATTTTGGGAGAAAATACTTTTTTTTGGCTGTTTGTAAATGAAAAATTACCAAAAAATCATGAAATGTACCTGATCAATGCCCAGGTAAGTGTGAAAAATTTCAAGTTTCATTTAATTAGAAGAATTAATGCTTTCCAAATATTGGTTGAGAGCCTTAAGGGTGTCCGCGACCAACGATTCGAGACGTTAGTATATTGAAAACAAGATTACTCTCTTAATATGCAACAGAATTTCATGTATTATACATCAAAACAAAGGTTTTTTAAATCTACAGGCCGATACGTTGAGATTTTTCTAAAAAAATTTAATACTTTTAAAAAAAGAACAAAAATGCATAAATGGTGAACTTGAAAACAACTTTACTCAGACATTTTTCAAGTAATCAATTTTGGTTTTTGTAAGATAATTTAAAAGAATATTCTATAGACCGATACGTTGGCCTTTTTTTAAAAAAGTGTTTAGTTTTTGAGATATTGTGATTGATGTAAAAGTCACGATATTTARCGGTAGACCWAAARATTCGTTTTAKGGTTTTGGTATTTATTACAAAATATTAATTCTTAACAAATTCAACAAACACCATGTAATAAAACACTGTTGTTTTTAAAATATTAATAAATATATTTTGGAGGATCGAGGGTCTCTACCTGCCCTTGTACCAACCCAAGCAAAGGACGGATTATGATCATCTTTATCATGTAATTAGCATAATAATTTTCAGTTATTATTATTAGAAAACTAGAAGCAGAAACATTTGACGTGAAATGAAAAATAAGCTAATTTTGTTGGAATAGTACTTCTATCGAATCTCCCTTGTTTAGTAGACCTGACCATTTTTTTTCGAAAAAATGCGTACCTTGTAGGAATCTAAGTTTATTTTTTATCTATGAGAGTTTTAATAAATAGCAACAATAATCAGACAAAATAATTTATTATACCTTATATTATAGCCTTAAGACAAAACCACAAGCCCAGTCTTCTTTTACTTTCTATTTATCTAATTTTAACTATTTGAGTCGTCTTTTCTAACAGTTTTGGGCCCTTGACGTTACATGACATGCGTCACTTTCGTTTAAATTTTTTCGCGAAAAATTCGAATTTCGTTTATTCTGGTCTCAAAATTTCGAAGCATTAAGGTAAAAAACCCCCAAATTGTCGTAAACCACCTTTATTGTAATCTCCACGTGTCGCTTAAAAGGCCGTCAAATTCCTTGCAATACAAAGAAGGCACGTCGTTGTTGACGAAAAATCGAATCGCATTTTTCCTTGACAACTTGCACATGTTGACATGAACGTAAGGGAACGTCTGAAAGAGGCATATGAGAGCGTTTCTTTCAGTGCCGATCGAACCTGGGCGAACGTGCCAAATGCATTCCACGCGAGTAACTTGGTAAGAGCCTCTTTGTGGGCAAACATTGGGGGAATAACCGTTGGTTGGCAGGAATTACACTTGACTGAGAGGTTTTTGCAAAGTCAGAAGTTGCACCGATTTAGGCCTCGGACCGTCAGAGAGAGCATTCCGAGGAGCAGATTGGCTCAATATGTGAACTGCGTCTACAATGAGTCGAGGGAAATGTCATATGCTGCGAATAGTTCGTTCAATGAGACACATCTGTCACCGAGTAGCGAGCCCACCGAAGCCTGGGAGATGCCCGAAGTGAGGGAGTTGTACAAGTGGTTTTTGAGTAAGTCGAAGAGGGGGAGTTTGACGCAAAATAAGACCAAATTTCGGTTATAGAAAAGCCTGAAGATGATTTTTCCAGGATTGAAGGACGATACGAGTCTCCTTTACTCAACGTCTCCGGCTTCGAAGACAAGATTTTGAAAATACAAATCACCGAAGACAGAGTTAGAAACATCTGGAACAGCGAGTTTTACCAATTCGGGGAACCACGCGTCAAAACCGATCAAATCATAGTCAATTTCTTCACTTCGCCGATGAGCAACATCTTCCTTTTTAACAATGACTCGGGGTACGACTACGAATGGTTCCGAAACATCTCCATTACTAAGGATTTCGACCAGTTGGAGGTGTAATTTGATGAAAAAAACAGAAACAGTATAAATTTCACAATTTTTGCAGCAACTGTCAAACGCCTTCAAGGAGCAAATTAGTTCAATAGCGAAATTTTTGAGCAGTAGTAACGAGCCTCCCCCTCCTAGTGAGCCAATCTCGAATGAGATTTTGTACTCCGAGGTCCTCCAAGGTCTCTCCCCAAGTCGCAAACTCTCGTTCAAATGTGACCATAACCGAGACGAAACCTCCTCGACTAGCCAAGAAAGCTTCACAAATTACACGATTCTGAATCAGAAACCGGGCCAAGAAGACCCGAAACAAAAATTACAAAAGACAGTCCACCTTCCACCAGACTCTAGGTACCAAACGCGGACCACCATCCACCCCTGCGTCCAACAAGCGTACTTTTATTCCCCCGTTCAAAGGTGGATCACCCCAAGTGTGACATCCTATTACCCCACGCAAGTCTTTACTTCGAGTTGGGTCACGCAGAACCCACTCGTGAATCGGCTCTTGGGGACGGCCATCACGAGTGAAAGCGAAAATCAGGTGGAAGAAGAAGTGCTCGAGGAGCACCGAGTCTCCACTAGCGTCTCCGAAGAGTTGGAAATTCAAGCGTTGGAGCAATACAGCAACTCGAATGAGAATTTCTACCAGGAGTTGGAGAGACAAGCAGCCGAGCAGTACGCGAGCTCCCCCGAATAAATTTTAAACTTAATTTTTAAGCAATAAATCAAAATTTAATTTATTCGAGTTGAATTTCCCGCGCAGAGGGCGCCACGTTCTTGACAATGACAACGTCTAAAACATTTCTGCTTTTGTTTACTTTTCTAGCAAAAACGCGATGAAATCGGCAAGTAGCAACGAAATCTTGTCGTTAATCAAAGATAAACTAAAAATGTTTAGCAATAAAGCAAAAATTAATTAGCGCGTTTGAATTTGCCGCCAGTAACAACGTCAACAGAACGTCAAAAACATCTGATTTCTGTCAAGTGTGGGCGACGTAAACAGCGTTTTTGTTTACTTTTCCAGCAAAAAACACGTTTTTGACGATGAAATCGGCGAGTAGCAGACGAAATGCTGTCGTCAATCAAAGATAAACTGTTAAATGTCACTAAAACCGTACCTCTGTTTAGTACAAGTAGCGATAAGGGGGCCGTGCAATGCGAGGCGAATTTGAGCGCTGGCAGTGAGATTTTGAGCCACTATCAGGCCGAATGGCAAGCCTTACACAACCAGAATGAAGAAAATGCCAAAAAGGCCGAAGAAGCGGCGACTGAAATCGCCAAAATCACCAACAAGATTGAACGTGATAAGAAGAGTTTAAGTGTGATGACACATCTGTTGGCCCACTCTAACTTAAATTTAAATATTGTTAATTGTACAAAACAAATTGAGAAAATCTATGATAGCTTTAATGAAGTTGAGGGGAAGTTAGTGGAGTTGGAGGACTTGATTGAAACTGTTGAGTTTGAAAATATGAAGAAGCAACACAGATATCATTTGCAACAGTACAAAGTACGGAAAGACGGTATTTGGTGACTGTGAGATATTCTGTTTGTGTTAATATTGCTTTTGTAGAGTCTTTAAAGGCGTATGAGGCGTCTCTGAAGGAGAAACATGAGGAAGCAGTTGCAGAATTTGAAATGAAAAAGAAGAAAGAACTGGAAGAGCGCCAACAAGTGTTTCACGAGGCTTTCAAGAGCGACTTGGAGATTTATAAAAATTTGGGGACTATTCCTAGTACGTGGTGTTTCATTGTTTTCGTCAACTTTTAATGTTTTCTTACAGAGTTAGATCTTCCCAAGAAGCAGCCAAGTGCCTTACTTGAGGAAATTCAGGTAGATTTTGACGAAAGTGAATTGGACCAATTTTTGTCAGACAATCCTTCAAAATAGTGCAATACATAGAGATATATTTTTAATAATTGTTAATAAACGGGTTTTTGAAGTTTTTTATTTGTATAAATGACATGAATCACATTTTTCTTTTTCTTTTATAACTAAAGCCTTATGAGATCTGAAATGATTATGATTAAATATAAAAATATAGTGTCTCAATTAGAGCTTAAATCACATAAATAAATATAAACGCTGGTCACACCAACAGTGGAACTTGCATTGCGTGTCGTTTAAAACTGGGAATCCCCGAATGTACTGGCAATGTTAATCACGAAACAAATGCACTAAACGCAAGTTCGACTGTTTTATTTTGAAATGAAGCAAACAACAAACCAGAATCGAACACTTCCAGATCAGTATGACTTAACTTACGGTAATATTTTATTGATACAATAATATATAAATTGATGTACTGGAAAAACCTCATTACTTATAGTAATGTCTAAATTAAAAAACCGTTCAGGTTCTTCGTTACATAAATTAAACATAAATTACTACACACTTATTGCTTAAAACGCTCACAAACTGAAAACGCAACGTCCTGAACCCAACTCAATTAAGATTCTATAAAAACCTTTTTTTCTTTGGTTTGAAACCATTATGTTGGACAAAAAGTTGAAATATTTACAGGAAAACTTCCAATGGCAAAAAACGAAATTGAACACATCGCCCTGCGCCCCTTAAGCTCACATTTCACAAGGCTAATTATACTAAAGGCCAGGGCTCGCTTTTTTTTTACCAATTTTTTCGTTTGTAATTTTTTTGGTTTTCATCACACTTTTGAATTTTTTTTTGGTTAATTTTCTCAATTAACTAGATTTACCTTACAATTAAGCTATGAATCCGTGGCTATTCTCCTACTTGATATTGACGTTAACTGTACATGTTGTAAACTAGGGATTTAGTGGATTAAATTCTTACGGTTGCCAGTACCTGTTTGCTAGAATGAGGTAAGTGGCAGATAGCCTCTGTCACGCGTGCTCCGACTCGCTCTGGTACGGCCTACCATCACCATACACGCTCAAAGAGGCAATCAAGTTGTTGGGCATCACCTAAACACACAAAATTAAAAAAAAAAATTTTTAGCAATCTTATTTTGTCAGTTGTAAATTTGAAATCTTAATTTGGTAATAATGACTGTCAAATATAAACGTCACAGTTTTTTAGGTAACCACTCAACCAGTGTTGTCAGTCTGGTGAAAGTTCTCATATCTGATGATTTTTTAGAAATCTAATTGCAGTTACAGCAGAAAAATGATAAATCCAGAATATTTTTTTTTAATTTGAGGATTCGTCTAAACGTTTAGTAAAATTAACTTTTTTGCGTAATTGTCAAGGAACAAAATTCGCTTTTTAAATACTGATATAGTTAATTTGTTCAAAAATGATAACATTGTTTTTTGCATTTTTTGGTCAAAATCGGTGCTTATGCTTCTAGCCTTAAGATTCTTAACTTTATTACTCAATATCTCAAAAACTATGCATCGTAGAGTATTTTAACTTGTTGCATCGTGTTCAGCGCGTAATTTTACGTCTAGAAAACCATATTTCAAGCGTTTTTATGATTTAAGGTAAATTGACTATTTTTACCATTTTACTACCGCTCACCTTCGAAAACTCAAAAAATTCGTATTTTTTTAAATTTGACCCAATAACATCTTATGCATTTTTTAAAAAGTCTGTAAGACCTCTAGAAATGTAAATAATGGATCAATGTTAAAATTTAATTTGTTTTTTATTTTTCTCGAGGTTTTGGTCGATTTTTGGCACTCGGAACGGTTTATTACCAGAAACTCAATTATTTCGACACTTGCTCAAAAATAAGTCAAAGCATTACCAAATTAGTAGAGAAAATGGTTTTATTTGTTTCTTTTTTTTTATGAGATTTCACTAAACTGAGTTAAAAATCACTAAATTTACCTTTTCAGAGCGTTTTTTTAGCCAGAAACAAGAACTATTTTGAGAATTTCATTAAAAACAAACCGACACTTACCAAATTAGGTGAAAAATTGTATTATTTTTGCATTTTTAGAATGTTTAAGCACGTTTTTGAAATAGACAAAAACGAAAAATTGTGCTAAAACTAGTAAAAAAATTTCAAATTAGAATGAAATTGGTATTATTTTAACTTGTTTCGCACTCGATTCAGTTCGTTTTTGAATTAAGGACTTTTTATTTGCAAGATTTTGTCATAACAATGTTTTATTCGGTTTATAGCTCGTGATTTATTGACAAAAAATAAGCCGAAAAACACAAAATTTGGTCGAAAATGGTGTTATTTTGCCTTTTTAAGTCTTTAAGCACATTTTTTGAACCAAAATCTCAGTTTTTTGCGAGATTTTGCTAAAACAAACCAAAGGAAAACACAAAATCCACTCATTATGTTTGCTTTTCTTAGGTCTTTTAGTTCGTTTCTCAGGTAAAACGTAAATATTTTTCAAAATTTCGTTAAAAACAAGGCAAAAATTACAGAATTAAAAAAAAGATTTTTGTCTTTTTCGAGCGTTTAAGCATGTTTTGAGAAGATTTGCGAGATTTTTGATGTTGACTAATCATCACAATAATTCAGTGTTGCCAATAGTTTAGTTACAAACATTAATAAAGTTGGTGACACCGAATTTCAGAATTTTTGGAGATATTAGATTGTCAAGTGATGGCCGCCTTTCGCAAATGAATGACAATTGACTATAAAAGTGTGACGTTTGGATTTGACAGTCAGTGTTGCCAAAATAATTTCAAAGTCATAGCACTCTCCAATCGGAAACTTATTTCTTCAACTCACCTCAAAGATGATGTCCTGATACCCGTAGCACAGGGTGCTCCCGAAGGGGTTCGTCGTGTTGGTCGAACTGGCCCTGTTCAAAACAACTGGTCGCTCACTGGGAGTCAATTGTTTACAAATATCATCCCAATGACAGTAGGCGTCGATATCAGTCCCATTCAGCGCCAACTTGAATTCGCATCTCATGTAAATGTTGAAATTGTAATGGCCTGGATAGTTGGTATGCATGACCAATTTTTTCACCAGATGCGAACGAGCATCGAACAGGACGTCCTTCAAAAGGGGAAAAATTCAACTATTTGACACCCAAGACACACAAAAGACAATTTACCAATCCCAACGTGAAATAGTTGAAGAAATAGTCGCTCTTAGTGTCGGTGTCGCGACGCAAGGCATTGGGGGTGTGAATCCGCATCTTGTCCTCGCTCTTGTAGAACACCTCATTGGGGGCTCCCAGCGCCGTGGCCACGTCTTGGGCGGTGTGCCCCAGGAGGATCTCCCGATCGAACTGGATCTTCGAGTCCATGCGACGGCTGTTTGAGCCTAAAATTGGTTCAGTCAAGACAGTCAGAGACATGGATTTTGCTTTCAAGGGGGTTAATGCGTTAATCACAACAAATCAGAGCGTTAGAGTGGCGAAATCGAAACTTACTAAACCTCTCGTTTAACTTGTTCTGATTGGTAATAACTAAAATATTGAACATTCCGTTTTACAAATCCAGGAAATCGGACAAATTTGAATTTTCTCATTACCTGCAAGAAGGCTGAGTTTGACTCCTTTCGTGTAGCACTCTCCTCTCAGTATCTCGGCCTTTTGGAGGTACAACTGGCCGTGGTAGCAAGACAGGGGCAGTTCGGGGGCGCAGGCCTGCTCAATGTTCGAACCGTAGTATATTGTCATGCGGGAAACTAGGGGCGAGCTCCCTGGGGGGAATTGAAGGGAACCTGTTATTTCACGTACGAAAAGTGAATTTGACCCTTGGTTACCGTGGGCGGCCTTACCCAAATTATGGGTGTTTCCAGACTGGAATTTTGATTCTACTGGAAAATAGAAGGAAAGTCCTCGAAAATTCAATATGAATAACTCTTTCTCTGAATCATATACTCCTGGATGAGTGGCACCAAATGAGTGTTCAATTTGTTCGATTGATGGCAGTACTTCGGGTGAATTAAATGGAAGGTTACTGCAATCCCAAAATTGAGAAAAAATTACATAACAGGGAGGCACAAAATTACCAGTATTTTAATTTTACTAATTTCATACAGTAGATTTCGATGATTTTTAACCGTTGTGAGATTGGGTCAAAAAACAATCTGATGCCGTCTTGGGGTAGATTAAGAACAAGATCTATGTCTAAAGGGTTCTGAAAAATTATTTTGAGTACATTTGGATTTGTAGTTTGTTTTTGCTTACAGTATCGTTATAGAGGACTTGTACATTCTTTATGTTGCCCACTTGGGACTGAATAATTGCAATAGCCTGGGAAAAATGCATTCCTGAAAAGAGAAAATTAGAAATGAAAACTTTTACAAATTTGAAGGTCGCCCAAACCAATTAGCGTTACGTAAAAAGGGTCAGATTTTCAACTAGTGTTGTCGTAACATCGTCCCATTGCAAAAACGATGTCAACCATGTTACGCGCAATAAAAATAATAAAGAAAAAAGAACCCACCTACAATAAACTCCCACTGTTCACAGCCCAAAGAACGTTCAGGAACCACGTTGAGCGTCAGCATTTTGCGCAATTAATAAAAAACAGTCTTTACTCAACAATAATACACAACAAATAACAAATCAAAACCGTTTATTCTTTTTCTCTTAAATCGAACGTTCCTTTGTCTAAAAACTCGTAAAACTTCCAATCGCCATTTTGTCAATTCTGACATCTGTCAAAATCAGCTGATTGTTGTCATCAACTGCACGCAATTAAAGTCACTAAACTAAACGTCAATAAGGTAAAAAGTCGCAAACACTCCACCAAAACATAAACAAAATAATCATTAGTGGTTCGTGTCACTGGGGGGCCCCATGCAATTCCCCGTCGGATACCGTTTTTTGAAATTCTCGATTAATTCAGCATCGACTAGTTTAATCCCGTCCACTTGGTTGCCCAATGTGATCCAATTGGGTTGAATGTTATGGGGGCGCCCGAACAGCTCTATTTTCCGCGTCCCGGGTGAGAGTCTCTCGATCATTCCGTAGATTTCATCAGGTTTGTGACTCGTCGCGCGGACTTCGGCCACAATCACGTCAGAGTCTAGCCCCCTGTTGAGGTTCTGGGGGTTGCCTTTCATCCCGACAAGACAATGCTCTTTGCCATGGTTCAACCAATGCCCCGTGCGCCCCGTTCTGATGATACGCTGCAATTGGTTCGTTTTAACCCAAATTATCTCATCCACGCGTTCGTAGCCCCACAATTGCAAACACTCGCGCCCCAATTCCATGGCCCGGCCTGTCACCCAGAGGAAGATCAGGCCCTCGTCTTGGAGCTGGGGGATCCCCAACTGTCGCATCTCGTCGTCTGACATTGTCCCGTACGGGAGCTCCATGTGGATGTCCCAAGGGGGGTCGGCCATAATCACAGCAAATTTTCCTAAAACAGTCATATCTAGATAGCGTAGATCGCACTGGACCCATTGTGGGGGGTACAGAGTTGTGCTCTCTTTTGGGGCTACTGAAATGGCGGTTGTTGCAGGGGCTACGCCCTCGGTTTGGCCACACCGATCGACTTCATAATGCACATATTTGCAAGTGTCCATGTGGAAACATGTATTGAGGAAGGAACAATCGCCTAAAGCTTCATCTGTGTGCTTTTGGATGATTTTTTTGAAATGTAATTTTTTGCATTCTGTTATGCCGTTTCGCTCGCAATCAGCCCGAGTTCCATGGGGGCAAAACTCCATCAGTTGTTTGCCCCCCTGAGACCTGAATCGCTCGGCCAACGAACGCTCCTTAGCTGTTGGTTTACTCAACAAATCTAGAATTTCTTCCCCCAGTTTTTTACTTTCTTTCTCCTTCGTTGAGGGCATTGATAACAACGACTAAAAACGTAAAATTGATTAAATTGAGACAGTTTCATAAAACAGGTACCATTATATCAGCTTTGGGTTCTTTCTTCTCCTTTTTTCTCTTCTCTTCATCTTCAGTCTTCTCAGAGTCACACCTCTTCCGTTTCAGGGTTTCCCTCACGTCGTTACCACTCTTCTCTGGTAAAAACTCAGCAATCATTGCGTTCACTTTGGTCACATCTATAAAAGTCACCTCTACCACGTTCTTCCCCTCTTTGACGCCATCCTTGATGGCGATCAACTTCTGGGTTGAGAATTTTTGTAACAGATTACAAACTTCCTTATGTGAGGCGTGTCGTTTCAGAGTCAGTTTCAACGAATCCACCAGTTCGGTGGACGTCGTGGGGACCTGGAGGGTGACTTCGCTCAGAGCCTTCAACAGCTCTTTCTCCAACTCTGGGTCGATTTTGACCAAGTCGATTTCGCCCTCCTCGGGCCTTTTCGCCTCTTCGCTGTTCCCGGTCGCTGCATGGGGGCTGTCGGACAGGTGCACGGGCGACGAGTTGAGACTCGAACCGAGGATGTCCTGGCGCTCCTTTTTGCGCTTTTCTAGCCGCTCGCGGAGGATGTTGCGCTTGCTTTTGATGGCCTGGATCTCTTCCCAAGCGTCCGACATGGCGAAAACGCGTCTTTTCAACTTTTCACAACAAGCTAACGCATTTTTTGGGGTTAAGTCAAACGTCAATTGGCATAACCTCATTTTTTTTAGGTTATGTTCGATTGACTCGTTTTCGGAAAAAGTTGAAAATGAGTAAAAGACAAGCGTTGCAGTTATATAAATCGTTGATTCGGGAGTCTAAGAAATTTCCGACTTATAATTTTAGGTATGAGCATTTTTTGTTAAATAGAGTTTTCATGGGGGCTATTTTTCAGACACTATGCATTGAGGAAAATACGGGACAGTTTTCGAGAGAATAGACAGTTGACAGACCAGGAAACTATAAAACAGAAAATGGATGAAGGGGCTCGCAATTTAAATATAATCAAAAGACAAGTATTACAATTAATTTATGTTTTATTCGTAATTGACCTAATTTTTTTAGGTGGTTATAGGTCAACTATATAGTAGTGAAAAACTGGTCATTGAGCACATTGGGACTGAAAAAAGTTAAATCTTAGTTTTTGTTATGGTTTGTAATGTCAGAAATAATAAGTAATAATTGTTTAAAAAACTTTATTTCTTTTTATCAATAGATTTGACTAAGCCTTTTCCTACTATATAAAAATCTTCAATCAAAGCGTCGACATTCAATTCTAATTTTTCATTAACAAGTTTTCGTCCACTTACATAAGACACCTAAAAATAAACACTAATAAATCAAAAAAACAGCTTCAAAACCTCACCTTGAAATCTCTACTTTCTAAGGCTTTAGGTATCCATAAAACCCCAATAAAATTTCCTCCGTAACTGTCATGGAAAAAATTTGCGAAATTTCCATAATTATTGCGCAATTCGGTTAAATACAATTGAATCGGATTAAATCCAGTGATTGGAATTTTCGTGCTTTCATTTTTATTAAATTCTTCTAACACAATTTGTCCTTCACTACCGTCCCCAGACACTTGCTCGTGCCGTACGGGGTTTAAAAGGGGGCGCAAATAAATAATAATATCGTAACCCTCAAGATTCGGAATAAATAAACTTTTGATTGAAATAAAACTCTCCTCTTTGATGATTTGCCCAAAACAATTTAAAGTCTCACTTGCAAGCTGTTTGACCCTCCTCAAAATCAATTTAGAGGGCCCTTTTTTGGTAAAAAGGGACTCGCAACCGTCGTAGGGCATCGCTATAACCAAATCGGGACAAGCTTCGCGATTTTGGAGGAGTTTTGAGTCGATTTCCGCAAGTGTCTCTTCTGAAACATTTAATTAATTCGCAATAAATTTCGTAAAATCCATACTCACTTGTGATTTCATTGTTAAAATTGACCACAATCGCCTGAATATCCCACTGAAGCTCTGTAAAAAACTTCAGGAACCTCAAAAATCCGATTTGGGGCGTGGCCGCTGCCCCACATGATGATTGGTGGAGATACAACGACGCGTTTAATAAGTTAATCACGTGATCGGGGAAGTGGTAATTATCGATGAGTTGTGACCTTAGCCATCGCTTTATCAGGGCTGTGCTAGGGCCGTAGCTTGGAAATTGCGACTGGATGCCCTTAAGGGCACCCATCACACGTGGTAAAACACTCAGTGTCATTTCCATCTCCCTGCTTGTGGGCGTGTCTTTGTATGTTGTCACGCCGTTATTGGTCGATTCGCGTTTGAGAAGCCCCACCTCCCGCGAGAGATACAGACGGTATCTGAAGACGTAACCTTCGTACAAAACGTCGAAAAAGTCGGGTTTGACACTCGAGACAATCTTGTGCTTCTTGGATAACTGTTTCGAGATTTCTAAATAGAAGGCGGTTTTCATGTGGCGAATGGCGGTGAGGTTTTTCGGCCATTTTGAACTATGTTCTGTGAAAATGATTACAAAATGGTTGATTTAATTTAATTTAATTACCTAATTGCAAGACACACTCGATGGGCTTGACGTATCTTGGGACAATCCCGCGTTTTTTCTCATTGAGGACAATATTGTTTTCCAAGGGCGGAGTTACGAGACTTCCGCTTCTGTAATTGGTGGAAATCGGGGGGAAAACCTCTGTGAAACTAAAAATATCGGAAATTCCTTGAACTCCGGTGATTGTTAACGGCATTTCGAGACTTCGTAATTTTTTCCCTAAATCGTCACTCGCTGCGATTGCTCGCAAGCAACAATCCTCATTGGTTCCCGTGGGATAAGGGGCGGCCACTTTCCTATTAACCAATAGCTCTTCAAACTCGTCGTAGTGAAGCTTGTATTCCAAGCCGAGTTTTTTGGAAACGACCCAATCAACAATGGTTTTAATTATTTCCCGCCTTTGTTTGATTGTTTCAGTCTCGAAATAAACAGCGACGCACACGGAACCGTCTTTGAACCGCCGGTCGGTGGCCAATTTCCCCCAAAACTCCTTAAATTCCCTCTCTTGGGGGTCATTGAGGGCGGGGCCTTTTTCCAAAATGTGGAAAGCAGTACTTTGGTCTAAATTAATCCCAAATGAGATTTTATCAAGTTGACTTGGTTTCACAAGTGGGACGATAAGTGTGGCTCTCTTGTTTAACCCTCTTTCTAACACACCCTGTATATATTTTACAACGAATAGTTCAAAGTGTCCAGAAAATGTCATCCGGTCCTTGTTACTCATTTTTTCGACAATTTTATCGAAATTTTTGTCACTTTTAACATTGAGAAGCAAATCATACTGAAGCTCGGGTGGTAATTTAGTGATAAAAAGTGAATGAAACGAATTTATGCCCCCATCGTCGAGAAGTTTAAAAGCAATTTCGCACTCATTTTTTATTTTTTTATAAAATTGCAAATTGAGAAACGCGGCAACGTTGTAACTGACACTCCGATCCAACAACACCACATCGAAATTTTCCCTAAACGACTCCAAAACCTCCTGTTTTGAGTCATCATTCAGACTCAGAGGAGTTTTACTCAAATCTGACTCGCTGATAAAATTCCAAAAATTCCGAATGATTTGATACGAGCTCATGTACTTGTTGATTTTCTTCTTCGTGAATAAATAAGTGATGAAATAGAGCATCAGTTCTTCGGTGAAGGCCCCCAAGCCCTCATTGAGCCCCCTTTGCACCAGCCACACATAAATCAATTTGACTGCTTCTTGCGCGTTTGTCAATTCAGACAAAATGTCCCGAATAAATGAATTGTTTAAACTCAGAGTGACATCGTGGGCTAGCGAAGCATTGTAGTAGATTGTCGAAGCCTCGGTGATAGCCCCCACGTTGAAAACATCGACTTTAACGTTGTTTATGTCCGGCAAGAAGCGCGAAAGTTTGAAGTAATTATCGGTAGGGGTCGCAAAAATTTTAATTGCTATTTTTTCATGCAGTTTAATTTGCAGGACCGGTAAAAGCTTGTTATTATTGTGATAAATCCACTCAATCTCGCCGGTTAGATTTTTTTCTTTTATGTAATAGGAGACATAAGCAAGAAAATAATAACGTTTTACAAAATATCTGTTATTTAGGTAGTCTTTAACGTTGAAACATTCTCGAGGCATTGTTAGATTAACATTCACGCGCAGTTTGGGGCCCGGCAGGGCATTTATTGCGTCTAAACCAAAAAATTCGCTTTTTTCAGGTTTTGTAAACTTCACAGTGAAATCCTGATCGCTTTTCAGGGCCTCGTTTGCAATTCCGTTAACAAATTTGTCGACTTCTGACAACTTTTTCTTCTTTTTTGTCTTAATATCGGATAATAAAACACTAAATTCTGGCAATTCACTCAACAAAGTTTGAAAAGAGTGATACCAAGCTTGAAACGCATTTCTATGTTTGTTTTTAATTTTTACTTCCTTGATTAATTCTTCAATTTGTAGACGAAACAAATTGTTATTGTACAAATTCTGTGTCTCTTTTAAATCGTTCAATTCCTCTACCGTGGGGGGCTTGTAAAGCTCATTTTTCGGCTTTTCTGACTTTGAGGTTATGTCCTCGTATTTCACCTTTTTTAATTTACCGGTGGTGTCATCCTTTGATTTGCGTTTATTTGGGGGCTGTTGCGTCGATTCTTCATCGGTGAAATTATCATCAGAAGAGTTTTCACTTATTTCTTCTTCCTTTTGAAAAAAATCATTAGAGTGTAACCTCAAAGTAAATTACGCACCTCTTTGAGTAAATTCATTTTTTTCAAATGAGGTAATCACTTAGATCATGTAAATATTACTTTTAACAAATTTCTAACAATATTCAAAATTGAAACATTTTAATTTTTATTATAAACAAGCACGTGTTCACAAATAAACTACCATTGGTTCGTCCACTAGATCTACTGTCGTAACCAAGTAGAAACATTTACAATTACAATTTATAAAAAAAATATTAGGAAATTGTTTTGTGTTTGACTGATGGTTTAGTTTTTGCTTGTGATTTTTTAGCATTTAATTGATACTTTGTTCCAAAAATTTTAATGGCTTTTTCCTAAACAAAAAAGTAGGTTTTTATTATCCGCCGAGGGGGACATACAATCTACCAAACAAATTTCTTAGAAAAAAACTTTTTTGTGTCTAACTGGTTTAGTTTTAGCTTTTGATTTTGTCGCAACAATTAATTGATACAAGTTGCGTTCCAAAAATTTTAACGGATTTTTCTTTAACAAAAAAGTAGATATTTGCATTACCGGCTGAGTGACAAATGCGCATGTCAATTTTTTGACTTGATCAGATTCGCTAAATCGTTTTAAAACTTGTTGTTTGTTCTTTGATCGCGCGAAATCCGCCGAATAACGTGTTTTCGTCGCATGCGACGCTTCCAACGATCATTTTCGTGTCTTTTCCGCAATGAGCGTGCACAAAGATGATCCCAACTTGGCGTTGGTCACTCTTCATAAACTAGCGGACGAAATCCCTTCAGGCGTCAGGTACGAGATGTCAATGCCCTAAGCTTTGTTGAAATTCTTTGTAACGGCTCTTTCTCGTTTCCATTTTGACACCTGCATTTACTTTCGTCGCTTCTCGCATCACATTTTCGACGATGGAACAGTCAGTTGGGTCGTGATTTGTGCAAATATGTTTATTTCATTCATATTGCACCAGTCCCGGCCTGACTGCTCTTCCTCATCACCCCGGGATGCCGAACCGAATCCGGGATTTAGCTGTTTCCTTGTTGCAGTGTTCGGGATGTGGGGGAAGTTGTCCCCGTAATTGGGCCCAATCCAGGCGAAATTACGAATAATTTGCGCGAGCTTATCGCGGCGAAATTACGGGATAACCTTTCCGGGTTTTGGGAGTCGCAAAATATCAACGAAAAGCTTAAAAATGTGAGGAAACTTGAATGTAGTGATTTGGAAAAAAGGTATAAATTGTGCCTATTTTACTGTTGAGTTAATAATTACCTTCCAGATGGCCCACTTCAATGCAGGAAATTGTGAACAGTTTACGTGGGAAAGAATTGAGATGCCTTAAAAAAAACCTTAACGCCAAAATCAAAAAAATTATAGAGGAAAATAACAAATTAGAAGCTACTGTGAAAGAAAAATCCGAGTTACTTGAACAACAATTAAATCAAATGAACTCGTTTCAATTTACATTGTAATTAATGCTATTTTTGTTACTTATTAATAAAATTAATTGATAACTAATCTGAAGATAACTGCTCCGCCTTTTTGGAAATGTATTCTTCATTTAAAGTAACTTCGCTGTTTAGTAACTCTAGTCTCTTTTGTAAATTTGCAATGCTGGCTGCAGAATATTCTTCACAGTCTTCATCTACCAAAAACATGTTAAGAGATTATTACAAAAATCTGTATTCTACCCAGATCAAGTCCACCATCCACTTCAAGAAGTTCTAAATACCGTTTTCCTTTTTCTATGTAATTTTCACGTGAAAGACTTGCATTGACTTCTTCAATTTCAAGTTGGTGTAAAGTGTTTGACATCTCCTACAAGAAGATATGGAAAATGTAAACTTTTGGTTTTCTAGTTTCACGTACTTACGGTTATTATCAACGTGTAATAGTCGATATTTCGACTGAAATGTTTCAATTTATGTTCAATGTGGTCAATTTGTTGGGTGATTGAAGCCACTCGCTGGGAAATCTTGTCGATCTCATAGACTACAAAAAAACAATAAAAAGGGCCTTGTTGGCAAGTGCATCTTACGTAGGTGCTCCTTTGACTCATTTAGCAACGACTTTTGGTTCGTTTGAAGGTCTTTTCGCTGAACTACGGGAAGTTTTATATCGTTTCCCATTTTCCCGCTTTGAAATTTGTTGACAGAATGCGTGTCTGTTTTGCGCACCGCTCAGTCGGTAAAATAGAGAACGTATTACTTCGTGACGATTTCTACGTTTTCAGAGATGAGTATTTGCAGACGAAATTGATTTTTGTGTTAGTAATGAAATTTTCGTTTTGGTAGAAATGAATATATTAACAAATTTGGTAATTTCGGTGTGAAATTAACATTTTTTTGCGTCGGTATTACAGGGATTGTATCGATGATTTGGTAGGTGTCGCTGCCGTCGCAATTTTTAAACAAAATGTCGGTCATGCGTGTTTCAAGGGGTACGTGCTTTATCAACAAGCATACATAATTTAGCATCTTCTGACGCCATTGCCGTTTGTAATCATTTTTTTCGTGTTTTTTGGAATCCTGTGTTTGTCTGCGTACAGTGCCAGGTGAGTCTGATGTTTGACTTATTTAAAAATCGCCAATTTTTTCGATCTAGTGACGGTGCCGGTTACAAAGCCACCCTTGATTGTCGTGCACAACCCTTTGTCTTGCCCTTTGCCATGTGATAATTACTATTTAGCGCAATTTCACGTTTATGATAATGATTTTATGTGACGAGAGAATAATTTCGATATTTTTACGTTTTGTTGGAATAATGAATGATGTTTCCCTGGCAACTTGGCTTTGCTACATTGTGAAAATGCCTTCGAACAAGTAATTTTTTATCATGATGTGCACCACATTCAATTTAACCGACATTAGGCTTATCATCGATCCATTTCGATGCATTAACTCGTTCGTGTTTGCTTTATTTATTTTCGTACAAATTCCGGTTATTTTCTGTTTTATTGTCTCTGAAACAAAGAGACGCCGAAGATGTGACATGTCTGGGGCCCTTGGCACAAAGCCCGTATTCTTGCTGTGTTCTGGTCTTCGCCAACACTGCCAATGTCAAGGAAAACACGTCGGAGAAAAAACTAAAAGCGTGTCTGGCTAACAAAGGCCGGCAATTTGTTATGGATATTATCTTATCGAGGTTATTGCTGCTCGAATTTCAAACAAATTATTTCCTTTGGTTTGTTTACTGGTAAAGCCGGTCTCACACTATCACGTAATTGATCTGACAATTATGACATATGTCAAAAAAAGTCAAAGTATGTAAAATGTGAAAAAAGTATGCAATTGTAGAACTACGCTCGATAATACGAGTAATGAACATAACAAACCTATATTTTGCTTTAAATTTCAAAAATTTTGTATACTTTGAGGGTGTTTCGTTGTTGGAGGTTGGTATTAAAATCACTGAAATGTGTGCCAATATGACAAAATTAAGTCCCGATTCTGGGGCTACACTTCTTAATAAACATTTTTATGATTGTTGTTGCTTAATAAGGTGGCCCCTCTAACGTTTTTTCGCCTAAGAAGGTGCATAAAGTTTTGCGGAAGTGTTTATTGTCGTTCATAATTACTAATTAGCATAGCCGTTTAAAAGTGTGCGTAGGACAACCTTGACTTTAAAATTCTTATTAGATGACACAGTTTTTTCCACTTTTTTTCCTCCATGTTGACATACATTTAATTATGAATGGGACTTTGTAACTTGTATAATGTCTAATGTCCATGTTTTTATAATAAATTTATGGTGTTCGCGTTTTACGGATTGTAACATAAAATATCTTGTCGTAAAATCATTTATGATAATAATTGGAACTGTAAGGAAACCATAAAATTTTGATTCATATACGAATGTGTTTATTTGTGTGAAATTTTAAGATGGGTTTATGTGCTGGAAGTTATATTCGGTTTGGTGGCTCAGATGGTGTGAAAAAGTAATCAAACAATCTCGAATGGTAATTATTTTCATGTTCTATTCAATCTCACAATCTCTGTTTTAAAACATCGATATTTAAGTTAACATGTTTAAAAATAAAGTATATAACATTTTTTTATTGTTTCTGTTTACTACTTTATTCACTTTTTACCAATACAGCGTGCGCCAAAACTCGCGCCCCAGAGAAAAGTTTCAAGTAAGATAAGATACCAGCAACATGGCAAAATTTTTAAAAATTCTAGCTGTAAAAAAATTTTGACGTTTTTTTTTGACATTTGACATTTTTTATGTCTATTTAATACTGATGATCTTGTATATGTTTTTTTACAATTATTTAGTAAAGGTACAAAAATTTTGCCAATAAAGCCACAAATAACATTAAACAGAGTTACAGCTTTCTTGTTTCCTCTTTTAATAGCCTGTGCAAAGAAACTTGGAAAATTATTTTTACAATAGAAATAAATAGTCAAAGTGCAATTTAAACTCTCATAACTTTGAAACTTTTATAGATAATTTTTTTTTAACATTTTTTTCATGTTCCTGATATTTTACCTTATATGGCATTTTTCTTTGGGGCGCGATTTTTAGCGTACCCTGTATAAATATTAAAAAAATACACCACGTATAAATTTTCTTTTTTTTTACATTATATTAATATTTCATTGCTACAAAGTAAATGGGATTTATTAATTATTAACGAACGAAAGTTAGAAATTTAGTTCTACATTATTTATATTTCTCCCAAACACTCCTCCAGCAGTTTATTTCAAAACTTGGGATAAATCTCTTCAAATTTTATAGTTCACATTCCTACTTCAAGTCTCATTTTATTTCCTTTTGCTCCTTTCATTATTATACATCTTGGCGTGCACTTACGTATCGTTATGTAATCCCATTACTCATCTTAAGCACTTGCAGGTTTTTTATTTTTTGTTTACACATTCCGGAATGATATGTTACAAATAACTGGTTGAAGAAGCATTGTTGGGAGAATGACTTATTCGTTATGTTATAGAAACACTTGCAAATTTTTTTATTACGCATCCAGAAGCTAAAAGTTGTTGCTTTAGGGAAAAGTTTTTTATTTCATTGCTTTCGCTTAGTTTTTTCCGTAAAACGAACGGTCTGTACGCATAACATAAAAATTGCAAGCAAAAGGGCCATACATCGTCTAATTAATAATTGAGACCAAACGTTGAAACTACAAAAACTCTTGCGGTTGCGGTCAAATTGAATTGGAAGTTGTTGGTAATGCATTAGTGGGTGTTTCGTATTATGTAAATATACGAAATATTTTCATCTTCTAGTGTATGAATACAGATCGCCGCTTAAAATGCTAATTCGGAGAGTACAGCGATTCATTCTGACAGCGTTTGTTCGCCTTTATATTTTTGTGACACTTTGAACATCCTAATTTGGAGAAAAAATAAATTCGTGTTTAAAAATCGTCTGGAATTTGGGTTCCAGGACAATGAACTATTTTCGGTTTAGGGTCAATAAAATTGTCTGTGATTTTGTGCCAAGACATGATTTATGTAATTTGGACAACACACGATAAATTACATGCTCGTCTTGTTCTTTTCTTGGCTCTCTTAGGGGCTAATTATTACACTATACAAATGTGATTAATGTAACTCGAGGAAAATTGTGTAAATTACTTTTTGGCCTCCTGACATGTAAATGTCAAATTAACGTACAATTGACACCTATTGAAAGACTGTATTTACAGTCGCCTGAGCATTTTACGCACAGACGAGTGTAAAGTGACAGTTTTACCGCACTGCCAAAATTATCTTCATAGACTTTTATAAAAAAAAACTGTTTGTAAGATGATAACATTTTTAATAAAACGCTCTACACACAACCTTTCAATCTTAGAACTCTTTTTTCTTCACACCACTTTATAATTATAAACACAT